AATGCCTGTTGCTGTAATTACGCGACAATCATTATTAATTTACCGTCTATAACACTACTTTTCAACATTTATTAATTTAACTCACCGCTAAGTGGTATAGAAGGTAGCCAATCCTCCGGAGTGACTTTTTCGAATCGTACCATACTGTCCAGGTGAGCAAATCAATAACCTAACAAAATTAATTACACAATCAGAACATATTCAATAGGTTTTAACATTTTGTACTTTCTACTTACCACACCGCCAACCTATTCTGTAGGCTTCAACGTTGCAACATCGGATACATTAGAGAATTGATTTCCCATTGAGATTACATATATCTGTATGAATAATTAGGATTAATATCTTGTCATGAAATATTTAAATATCACTCACAAAGCAATATATTTCACTTACCCCGATTCTAACCCACTATTCCATAAATAATCACAAATTTCAGCTTCGAGGTCATCAATTCTGCTTGGAATATCCGCTTTTTCAACCTACAATTTTGCATATAAATTTTTGTCACAACAACATGATAAAGATCAAATTAAGTTTTCTTTTATTGAACTTACCTTCTGCTTCTTCTTCTAGGGTGCAGGACATTCCGAATCCAAATATGCATCTATAACACTCTCCGGTGTATAGATCACATCGACATCCTTCCTCCTCATTTCCTCTATATTTTCTTCTTCCTCCATATTTTCTTCTTCCTCCATATTTTCTTCTTCATATTTTTTCAGTTCATCATATTTTTGCTCTACATAGCTCTTCATCTCTTTTATTTCACCCTTCAATTTTTCCCCTTCATCCAAGTATTCATCAACCACCCCCTTCACCCCTGTAAGTTCACTCCTCAATTCCACAACCTCCTTCACCACTCCATCATTTTTTCACCCATCACCATCTTAAGTTCACCCCTTAACACCTCAACTTCTTTCACCATTCCATCTATTTTTCCTTCCACTTACCCCTTATGCCTATTAAGTGTCTCTTCGACTCTCTCAAGTTTCTCTTCGACTCTTGATTGTCTTTGCATGATATCAAATTGGATTTTTTATATCAGCCAATTCAGACATCAAAATGTCGAATTTACTCTGTTTTCCCTCACCATCATCCCCCAATACAACCATCTATTCTTCCTTTTCCATTGCCTCCTCTACCTCCTTGCCAATAACCTTCAAAATTAAATTACCATATTAAGACATTGATTATATTCTTAATATTATTTAATTACATTTATTACCCTTTCTTTCTTCCTCGGTCTATCCAACTTCAACTTCGACATCACTCTAACCACCTCTTCCTTCCCCCATGAACGAATGCGTGCCACTCCGGTTCTTTCATAAGCCGACACTGCCTCACAGCCCGACCAAAAATCGAACAGTGCAACCTGCATTTATAATAAAATTTATAATTTTATATAATAACTATACTATCATTTTATATAAAAAAACAAAAGCGTTCTTCAACTCATTTACCTCTAAGATTGCTATGCTCCCTTTGAGATATCTCTGGCTGCCCTTTCTAAAAGTGATTATTGATTCAATCAATCTCGAATGGAAATATTCAGCCCAATTGAATTCACCCTTCAAGCCTTCATCGCAAATGAGCTTTATATAGTCCTTGTTCATTGACATATCACCCGTTGGACAAAGAAAGATCTCGACAAGGTACCGTAAGATCCACTTTTGATTTCCTCTTTAAGTTCGTCATATGTCACCTTCTTCTTCAAACCATATTTGGAGGCAAGTGCTTTATAGTTCTTACTCTTAGAGACTTCTACAACACTTTTGCCTTCATTTCCTACCCTCAAGACGGTTGCAGCACATGGGATCCCTAGAGGAAATGAATAATTACCATATTTAGCAATACATTGTTTGACATCAAATTGCTCCATCAATGATCGACACAATTCCCTCCGAATAGGTCGATCCCTTACTCCTACCAATGATCCAAACCCCATTTCTCACAGCACATTCAACTGACCCTTCTCCTTAAGGTGTTTAATTAATGAATTCACCCTTTTAATGTTGCACTTTGTCGACACTTCCTACATTTTTTAACAATATATAATGTTATAGTTCTTATATATTTTGTATCAACGTATTTACAAGTTTAATGAATACCTTTTTTTCATGTGCTTTCCTCCATTCTTTGTATTCTTCACTATCTATCTTTGACTATGCGATGTAAGGTTCCTTCTCAGCATCACTCATCGAATTACATTTCTCCAACACATCATTTCTCACTTAATATTAAGCATAAACATTTCTTAATCAATACATTAACGCTAAATAATACTCAATGTCAATTTCAATTTACATACCGAACTGATGTGTTCGCCACCTTCCTTCATCCTTTGGCATTCAGTCATACCGTCAACATTTAAAATTTATAATCAATTTAAAGTTCTTAAATACTTTAATCCAATTACCATTTCAACAATAATAACAAAAAGACATTGATACTTACTAGAAGTAAATATATCCACCCTTTGGTTGCTTTCGAATCTCGGCCTCAATTTCAACGTCATTTTCACCACCAACAATTCCAAGATCATTTGACTTCATTTTTCCTTCATATATCAGTTTACACAAATCAAATCGAATACTGGTTACATACACTTTATTCAATATACAAATATCGATAACTACTCTTTTAGTAAAACAGTTTCCTTCAAAAGAATTTGAATGACCACTACAACAGGTGTCGGCACATTTATACAACCTACAATATCATTTTCTACCTATAATATTATAAACATGTATCCATATTTATTTTCTACCTATAATATTATATAATCGGTCTCAAATCCTTCTTGGATTCGATTCGAAATCCTTAAACCAAACCCATAAACCCTAATCCCTATTTCCTTCAAACGAATGAGAACACTCAATACTCCAAGTATCGACACATTTATATAACCTATAATATCATTTTCTATCTATAATATTTAATAAAAGTATTGATATTTATATTTTACCTAAAATATCACTTTCTACCTGTAATCGATCTCAAATGCTTCTTTACTCCAAAACCCCAAATAACACATAAAAACTCTATTTTCGATTACTGTAATAATAAAAAATTAGAGTTTTGACAACGTACTTTTTGATTCGACTGCAGCAACAAACAAACAAACTTCGCTTTAGAAACGCCTTCTGAAATGCAGCAACAATTACGCTTCGATTTCAAAAACTCGTCCGTTCTATCTATTTTTCAAAGTATATTTAACTATACCCTTTATATTTTCACCGGATATGTTATTTATATTTAATCGATACAACTACCAAAGTGTTAATACTTTCGATAGTATAATTACATATTTCTTTGAAAGTATCGATAATTTATTACGCGTACTTATTAAAGTATCGATACTTTCAATATATTCGGTAGCGCTTTACCGGTTTTGTCATATGTTTACCTGTTATATCGTTATGGATCGATACAATTTTATAAAGTAGCGACACTTAGGCGCTAAAACTGCTTCTCTTTTAAATTCACAAAGGGTCGATACTTATATTAAAGTATCGACACTTTCAATATATTCGGTCGCTCTATACCGGTTTTGTTCTTTAGAGACCAATTTTGTCATATTTTTACCTGTTATATCGTTGTGGATCGATACATTGTTATAAAGTATCGACACTTTATAGGCACTAAAACTGCTTCTCTTTTAAATTCAAAGTGTCGATACTTATATTAAAGTATCGACACATTTCAATATATCCGGTCGCTCTATACCGATTTTGTCCTTTAGAGACCAGTTTTGTCATATTTTTACTTGTTATATCGTTGTGGATCGATATATTGTTATAAAGTATCGACATTTTATAGGCGCTAAAACTATTTCTCTCTTAAATTCATAAAGTGTTGATACTTATATTAAAGTATCGACACTTTCAATATATCCGATAGCCCTTTACCGTTTTGTCTTTTCGAGACCGGTTTTGTCATATTTTTACCTATTATATTGATATAGATCGATACATTTTTATAAAGTATAAACATAAACCGACAAACTAAGTTTTTCGGTTGTAAATTTTTTTAATATTTCTTCATGATTTAGATTTACTATATTATTATTACTCAACATTTTTAATAGCATTAAATCAAATTTATTAAATATTAAATCGAATTTATTTTTCCACAATACCTTGTAGTCTCGGTAAGTCATTTTACATAAACTTTTCTTTCTCACGTTTAGAAGAATATTTTCTTGCCTTCTCTTCTCATCGCCGACGGTACCATCTTGTCTTCTCTTCTCCTCACCGGCGGTACCATCTTGCCTTCTTTTTTTTTTTGAAATATTGCCTTCTTTTCTCCTCGCCAATGGTCCATCTTACCTTCTCTTCTCCTCACCGGCGGAACCATCAAAATTTTCTTTAATCGGCGACACAATGAGTAAGATTTCACTCTTGATTCATTATTTTTCTCTATTTCCCCCCCTCAATTGCTCTAATAGAACAAACACCCATTTGTATCTCTCATTTATGTCCTTATTTCAGTAGAAAAATAAAACATAATGCCTCCTTTTTTCCTTCTTCATTTTCTATAGGTAAGAGGTGATGGAAACTTGTTAATACTTCAATTTTTAACGAAATTCAGAGTTAAGTTCAATTGATTATTTACTCAAACTTTTATAGGCTACTTCATTCATGTGAAACAATCATGAATCAGAGAAGAGAAGATGATAGAGATGGGTTTTTATAATTCTACTCCTATCGATTTATAGATAAGAAATATCATATTTTTTAGGATTTATTGGGAATGTTGTTTGTTCTAGTTTGAAATTGATTCTTTAAAATTAAAGTGAGAATGGTGTTTGGGTTGTTTGTCCACGATTTTCTAATGCCCTGGGTGAGGATATGATGGTAAGTTCATTGAAATTGATATGTCGATAGTGTATTTGATAAGTTGATGGAGCAACTTCAATTGATTTGATTCAAATATGTAGCTTCACCTTGTTTTCCCCGACTGGAGATAATGGATTGTTGTTACTACAACAGATAATGGATTCAAGGTTCTTGCAAGTACCAATGGTCTTAGAGCCTTAAGGGTAATGGAGGCTCGATCTTATGAAGCATCTAGATCACCACTTGAGATGAAGGTTATATGTCTTTATCATAATTCCATCACATTACTATTTTTTTTTGAAGTTAAATTATGAACTTATGCTCTTGCTTGATACAGTGGGTACAAGTATCGGTCCGGTTGTTAGCGAAATAGAGCACCATTTGAAGTTGCACTTCAACGCCCTTGTTCCCGCGGTTGTTGAACGGTTAGGTGACGCCAAACAGCCAGTTAGAGACGCCGCCAGACGCCTACTGCTCACTCTCATGGTGGTAAAGTTACCAGTTTCTTGCTGAGTTTGGGATGCTTTAATGTTTTAGGCTAAATGGTGAAGAATTCGTCTGATTTCTAAAATGTGTGTGTGTATATATTGTTTCAGGTTTCTTCTCCAAAAATTATTGTTGAAAGAGCTGGCTCTTATGCCTGGACACATAGAAGTTGGAGAGTTCGAGAGGAATTTTCCCGGACGGTTACAGCATCAGTCAGTCTTTTTGCATCTACTGAACTTCCACTTCAACGGGCAATTCTTCCTCCTGTATGCTCTTTAACATTTCCAAAATGGATTTTTATTTTTCGTCATGAAATGGCACAGAGATTAGCTGACATAAATTCCTTTATCAGATTTTGCAGCTGTTGGATGACCCAAATCCGGGTATTCGTGAAGCTGCTATATTGTGCATTGAGGTCTGTGAAACATTTTTTTCTATTGTTCTTTTAGAAGAGCTTGGCAACTTGTTGACCTTATGTGTAGGAAGAATTTGACTGTCTTCAAATGAAATCTGATTTGTTGTCCTTTTTTTTGTTATGTTGTTGTTGGGGTCATATTCAAAATTTTAACATATGGTTTGTAAGAACTTTCACCACACTTGAACATACAGCTAAAAGCCTGAAATATGGCTTACATCAGAGGCAGTTCCTCTGTTCTCAGTTATAGAAAAACATGCTGAGCTCCTCATAATAAGCTTTTTATATGCCTTTAGAGGATGGAAATTACAATGAGAAAATTAATAGGAATAAACACAGGAACCTGAACTTTGTTTATAGCCATGGTAATTATATTTAACAATTAAATAAAGAGAAACCATCTCAATTTATGTTGCTCGTCACTCGAGTTTTATACCCTTTTTTGCAAAAAAAATTCCATGTTCTCGTTCATGAACATTTAATACTCAATATAGAGTGTTTGTACTTGTGTTGTCTGCTCCTTGGATTGGTTTTAATATGAGTTATTATTCAAAGTGGCGTGCTTCTATTGAAAAATGTAAGCCATTAATAGTTTTAATCTCTTGTGGAAAAACTGTTCAGTAATTATTCATTCGGTGAGTTTTTTCCTTTACTATTTCTGTTTTGGATGGTTTATTAAGTGTTGCAGTAACTGAGAGCATTAGGTCCACTTCTGTTGTTATTCTTGCAAATTGCTATTAGAGATTTCATGGGTCCTACATTAAAGGTTCTCATATTTGATGGGAAAATTCTGATAAGATATTTTCCTTTCCAGGAAATGTATACACAAGTTGGAACTCAATTAACAGTGACAAATAGGTGATAGCTGGAATAAAAAAATTGATCTCAGGCAATGAGTTTTGTGATTAAATGCTATGATCATTCTATTTTAGGCGATAATGTTCGACAGCAATTGGTGGTCGGCCGGTGAGAGTATGATGATAGAAGAGAGGAGATAATAGGTGGTGGTGGATTTTATGAAAGCATATATGATTTAGAAATTTATGGATTTTGAGTAATTTAAGGATTTTAGGTATTTTAAAAAATTAATAATTTTAATTTTTGAAAAAAATAAAATTAAAAGAAATTAGAAACTTGTTATATATCATGTATCTAAATGATTTTTTTAAAGTTATTAATGGTCAAATATATTAAATGACAATAGAATAAATATTATAAATCCATGTTAAATGTTCAAATGGAGAATGCCTAAAAATGCATTCATATTCTATTTCAGGTTATTGTGAAGCAAAATGGAACATCTCAAACTTATATTTTAAGTTTTGAAGAATCATTGTTTAATTATGTGTTTTGTTCATACAATAATATTTTCAAGTTGAATTTTTAATTTGGATTGCATTTCTTTATATGTTATTGTTTCACTGTTTGGATAATATCATTTTCTCAATTTTGTTCTAATATTGGATTTATTTGGTGTACTTATAGAAATAGAACATTTAATTTCAAAAATTTTATAAAATAAAATTTTATAAAAACAACTTAAAAAAATTTAAAAGGTAAATAACAAGAAAAATATAAAAATGTATACATTTTTATAAAAAATAGATTCCGTAAATTGTTTTCAGAAAAACTAACCAAACAATGTAAAATATTTTACAATGCAGCATCCAAACAATGTAAAATATTTTCTAGAAATATAATTCATTTTCAAAAATTCATTTTTCGAAAACTGTTTTCAGTGAAACAAACTGACTGTTTTCAGTGAAACAAACTGACCCTAAATCTTTTGGTTTGTCATTTTAGGGGAATTGAGAGTGAAATGTGGAGTTGATCCTTTGAAAAAGAGCAGACAGGGAGCGTCCATTTGTTGGAGAAAGCCTACTTTGTCTTTTGTCCTTCAGTTTCCTTTACTACTGCATGTTAGCCATGAAAAATGCACTCATTACCCTCAATCCTTTGAATGCTTGTACTGATATAGTTTCATTTTATGTTTGGTTTTCGTTTCCAGATCTGAAATCTGAGTCTCCCTGTTTTCAATCAACTCATTAGCCATGGCACTGGTAAGTTCTTGTTTATGCAGAAGTGTTTTCAAGTAGAATTCAGAGTGAGAAACCTTAAATAATATATTGGATCTTATATTATCACTGTGAATTCAATTAGTTGATTGGTTTGAAAATATTAAACCAGCAATCGATTTTAACTTTTCTGCTTTCGATTTTGTTGCGATCAATTAACCAGTACTAAGAGAAAGATTGATGCCTAGAGGTTAAATGTGCATCATAGATGGAGTTGCTGATTTTTTTCCCCAAGTAGTTAATAAAATAAAATTGAAAGATCTTTATAGTAATTTATAGGGAAACATTATTTTTTTAGTTGTTTTTGGATTAGTAGCATCTCTTTTATTCTTTTGTAAGTTTTGGTTGTGGTGTTTGATATTGGAATTAGCTTTTTAAGTAATCTGTTTGCTGGTTTTAAATGCAGGTATTGCATGCAGGAAAAACAAATAAAAATGCCTTCACGGCTCTCATTGCTGCGGAATATAGAGGCGTTGCTGTGAAATTGGTTGAAAACTTTGAGATGGGTGTCACTTTGTAAGTTGGTAAATTGCGCCACACTGTCTTCACCTGAAATAACCCAAACCAGAGAAATCCCAACAGCCAAAATCAACGACAAAAATGGAACCTCTCTTGATCACCACGAATGCTACCATCATATTCAAAAGCTTTCACCTTTACTCCAAGATGGTCAAACTGAAGCTGCCCAAACCCTCACAAAGTCTCTTCTCTGTTCAAAATCACCACCTGATCTCTTCAACCTCTTCTCTGTTACCTCACCTTCGTTGAAATTTGTTTTCTCAAATATTCTCTTTTCCTTGCTAGCTCAATCCCTAATGCACAGTGAAGCAATGGAGTTATATAAGGTTACAAGGAAGGAAGGTATGCAACCTTCTATAACTTCTCTTAACTTGTTGCTCGACTCTTTGATGTCTTTAAATAAGTTTGGTAAAGCCCTTGATTTGTTTGAAGAAATAATAGGGTCTGGCTTTAGACCTAATAAATTCATGTATGGAAAAACTATTCGAGCTGCTATGAAATTGGGGGACTTGAAAAGGGCTTATGAGTTTTTGGATTGAATGAAGAACAAAGGGGTGAGTCCAAGTTTGTTTATCTGTAATGCTCTGATTAGTGGCCTTTGTAAAGAGAAGATAATTAGGGATGCAGAGAAAGCTTTTAATGAGATTTCTGAGAGAAAATTGGTGCCAAGTTTGGTTGCATATAATTCTCTTATTGATGGATTTGTAAGGTTGGGGAGTTAGAAAAGGCTTTTGATTTAAAAGAGAGGATGGTAAAGGAGAATGTGGAGCCTAACATTGTTACTTTCAACACATTGGTTCGTGGCCTTTGTCATGCCTGTAGAATAGATGAGGCAAAATGGGTTTTGAAGGAAATGGAAGCCCAAGGATTTGCTGCTGATGGTTATACTTTTAGTATTATTTTTTATGGGTTTTTGAAGAGGGAATGTTGAAAGTGTATTGGCTTTGTATGAAGAAATGAGTGAAAAAGGAGTTGGGATCAATAGATATACATTAAGCAATTGGTTGAATCATTTGTGCAAGGAAGGGAGCATTGAAAAAGCAGAAGAGGTTTTGCAGAATGAAATTGGAAAAGGGTTTGTGCCAAATGAGGTAGTGTTTAATACCATTGTGAATGGGTATTGCCGAACTGGTGATATGAATCGAGCCATTTCTACAGTTGATCGTATGGAAAAGTTGGGGTTGAGGCCTGATTGTGTTACATTCAATACTTTGATAGACAAGTTCTTCTAAATGAAAGAGATGGAAAATGCCGAAGAATGGGTAAAAAAGATGAGGGAAAAGGGTGTTTCGCCCAACGTCCAGACATACAACATTGTGATTAATGGTTATGGGAAAATGAATGAACCCCATAGGTGTTTTGCAATTATAGAAGAAATGGAAAAGGATGGGATTAAGCCAAATATTGTAAGTTATGGTTCCCTCATAAATTGTTTATGGCATGCTTCTCGAAGCCAAAATGACTTCAGGGATATGATAAGTAGAGGTGTGTTGCCTAACATGCAGATATATAACATGCTCATTGCTGGAAATTGTGCTGCCGGGAACTTGAGTGATGCTTTCAAGTACTTTGATGAAATGGTGAAGGGTGAAACAAGACCGACAATCGTAACATTCAATACAATCATCAATGGACTATGCAAGAAGGGAAAGGTAACTGAAGCTGAATCTCTGCTTTCCAAAATCACGAGTAATGGGTGTAGTACCTACAACACCTTATTATCAGGGTATTCTAATGAAGGAAATGTTCATAAATGTCTAGAATTGTATGAAAACATGAAGAGTTTGGCCATCAAGCCAACTTTGCATACCTATCATCCTCTCATTAGTGGATGCAGTAAGGAAGGAATTGAGCTTGCAGAGAGACTGTTTCATGAAATGCAAGAGATGCATTTGACTCCTGATCGACTTGTATATAATGTGTTGATTCACTTGTATGTGGAGCGTGGAGATGTTAAGAATGCATCTTCCTTGCATAGCGAGATGGTAGATCGGGGAATTTGTCCTGACAAAATGACCTACAATAGCTTGATTATGTGGCAGTTTAAGAAGGGAAACTTGTTAGAAATAAAGGATCTTGTTGGTGATATGAAGGCCAAGGGATTGGTTCCTAAAGCTGATACATATGAACTTCTAATTAAGGGATATTGTGAACATAAGGATTTCATTGGAGCATACCTTTGGTATCGAGAAATGTTCGAGAATGATGATTCACTTGTATGTGGAGCGTGGAGATGTTAAGATGCATCTTCCTTGCATAGCGAGATGGTAGATCGGGAATTTGTCCTGACAAAATGACCTACAATAGCTTGATTATGTGGCATTTTAAGAAGGAAACTTGTTAGAAATAGGATCTTGTTGGTGATATGAAGGCCAAGGGATTGGTTCCTAAAGCTGATACATATGAACTTCTAATTAAGGGATATGTGAACATAAGGATTCATTGGAGCATACCTTTGGTATCGAGAAATGTTCGAGAATGATTTCCTTCCACGTATCTCTACTTGTAAGGAACTTGTGATTGGTCTTAGAGGGAAGGGAAAGGTGCAAGAGGCTCAGATTATCTGCTCGGAAATGAAGGAAAAAGGAATGGATAATTGGAGATCCGATGAGGACCTATCAGCTGCTGCCAACATTTAACCAGGGACTGATACCAGATACCACAAAAAGGAAAGTCACTGTATTGAAAGAGCAGTGAACAAGGAGAACTGGAAAAGCTTAAAGCCTAATAGTTCACGTTCAAAGAGAGCTGAAGGTGTT